TATCGCATGCGATTTATCGTGCAGCCCTAATATATATATACATATCCTCACATGTGGTAGGAGTAGATTGAGCGTTATTTCTGATATGAATTAATCATACTGTAATCTATAGAGTCAGTCAAGACATGACATTGCCCTTGATCTTTGAGAAGTGCTGTGTATAGCTACTTTGATTCATTAAATAGTAATAGTTATAGTTGTGTGTGTGTGTGTTATCAGAACAGCAATTTCCTACTGTGTCCATCGGTTTTCAATGTCAAATTACTGCATGCAATACTGGCAAAACATAAAAATGCAGACACACACACACATAAAGTGACAGAAAATGTTAAAAATCAAATACGAGTAAGGTGCTAGTACTTATAAAATAAAAGTTGCAGTATACAATAAAATAGAATACAATAAATAAAGCTAGATGATAACGAATGTTAAGATGATGTGTACAGATAATGAATTAACTAGTAAGTATAAAGATAAAAGCTGAACCTGGGAGCTGTGCAGTTTCATATTCTCTGATTTATTATCGATGGTAGTCTTGAATAGCTCTATTTAAGATTTCTGTTATTTGACATACAGACACCTCTAGCACAGGCATGTCTGTAGTTCTATTCTGTTCTATTCTATTCTATTCTATTCTGTTCTATTCTGTTCATGACATTCACAGTTCAGGTTTTTCTACAATGTATTGTTAATTTTTAGTAGATAGAGCTTTAAGTGATAACATAAAAGGGAAGATGGTGAATTTTTACATCTTAAGTGCAGGAATATTTCCTAAACCATAGGAGCTCCTCTTCTCTCTCAGCACATAGGTGTGTTTGCATCTATTATCTGTCTTAAACCCTATTCGCACGGGATTAGTATTACCTGGTGACCTCCAGTCATTTGTAATAATTGCGTAGGTTGTCTGTGATCTTAATCCCGTGCGAATCGGCCATGTCTGTAATTTGTAAAGTAAAAATTCCCCCGCAAATGACCTACCATATTTCGCCGAACACCGAGGTCCTGTGCTAATACTAGTCCCGTGCGAATCGGCATCTCTGATTTGGCCAGCATTTGGCGGGTCGTATATCATTTTTAGAGGTTTTTGTTTCCTGTGCGCTTTTTTTATCCATCTTTCGCGAAGAATGGAGCTGCGTTGGAGTGTTTGATAGTATTTTGGGTGCTGTTATATCGCTTACACCATACAATTTGTAGAAAGAAAAGGCTGAAAAGGTTTCGAGGTTAATGTGTTACAAATAAATCAAGCATAAAGCTTGAGATACTATTTTAACCTGGTGAAATGTAAATGTCACAGGGCACGAAACTATATTCTTTTCTTTTTTTTAATCCATCTGGACCATAGAACGGGACTCTCGAAGCCTTGACATCCGGGTATCAGGTAGATAAATCGGTAAATTCGAGTAAAATCACAGGCTTCGCTTATCCCGTGCGAATGCACCACACGAAATTCAGAGGTGGGGGGTTAATTTCAAAATCACACAAGGTCCCCAGATAATACTAATCCCGTGCGAATAGGGCTATAGACAGCAGGAGCTCTGATTCATTGTTTCCTTTTATTGTGTTTCCATTGAAGTGGGAAAGTGAGGAAAGAACTGAAGGCTGCTGCTGTCTTGAAGACTGTGTGTCAAGGCTGTCTTTCTCTTCTCCTTTACATTTCCTTAGTTTCTTTGTCCCCCTGTAATTGTCAGTTTGTGTATGTCAGCATGTGGCCTGTTTGCTTGGGGTGGAGGGCAGATTGGATGCCTGCTTATGGAGCATGACATCTAGGGAATGTGGATTTTGTTTAGTATTCACAAAGCTAATTTCACTGCCACCTAGTTTGATCATCATACTGAATGCAAGCACCATACATGCTGAGCTGAGGTCTTGTTTTAAAATGATTAGTTTATGTTGGAGTCTTCCTTCAGGTCTTCATTGTAGGGTGCCTTTACAGAGCTGCCAGTCAGCAAAAGACTTTGTGGTGACAGGAGGAAAGATTAAGTTGGAATTGCATGGATTGGGTTGTTAAATTACTCAGTCTTTTTTTTCATCTCCGCAGTGGGGTTTTGGAATACATGTTTTTTTATTTCCTGTTTTAGGTAGGCCAGTATAAAGCAGAATGTGTGAATCAAATTTTGTCCATGCATGTTGTTTGTCATTGTAAAGAAACAGCTGTGTATTACAACAAGTGTGTGCGCAATCGTTGCTCTTTGCCGTAATAATGCACAGTGAGCAGAGAGCTGTAAGATTGTGAAATATTATCACAATTTAAAATAGTTATTTTTAATATTATATATTTTTAAAATGACTAGCCCTGTTTAAAAAAATTAATGTCTTTACTGAACAAAAATATACATTTCTTTCTTTCAAAATCATGCTGACTCCAGACTTTTAAAAGGTAGTTCAAGTTGGGTGGGGGTGAAAATGAAAATTTTCACCTGAGATTCAGAGCCAAAGTAGGAGCTGCATTGAGATCCCCACATTTCTGGGACTGAATGACAAAATCTAAAAGGGCATTAAAATATCTTTAATACTTCTTGAGTTACAGGTATGCAAACTTTGGAGAAAAAACTTGAAAACTTGCTCTTTCCCCATTTTTGAATGGTTATCATTGGCACATAATGTAACAAAGAATATTATGATGCTGCCACATTTCTTTAGTCATTTTTACCCCCCTGTAATTTGGCTCTTAATCTCAGGTGAAAATTGCCATTTTGACCCCCCTCTATAAAGTAATGAATTACTCATTAAATGCCACAGGTGCATATTTACAATTATGGCTTTCACCAGTATACATGTTTGTCTTTTTTGAGAAAAAAATATTAACAAAATCAAAAATTTGAGCCAGGGACCTCTGGTTGAGTTCGCACAGAATGACCCAATTAATTTTTAAATGTTTTGCTGTGAGGTGGAAACAGATGCAACAGTATCAGCATAAATATTTCACTTGTGTGACTCTCCAGGTTGTGAGAGAATACAGTCAACAAATGAACGTGCTTTCTCAGAGAGAAAAAAATAAAAGTAAACTTATTATGGCTACATTCTCATGGGAAGGTGAAGGCAACACCATTGCAGCCACAGGCTGAGTGTATATGAAGTTTAAACTGAAGGCTTCAACATGCATAATTTATGGCTTTTGCTTGTGATATACAGTGCTGCTTGAAAGTAGTGATGCGCGATATTGGACTTTTGCCGATATCCGATATGCCAAAATTTTTCAACACATTTTGGCCAATAGCCGATGCCCATATCGATATATTTCCTTTTGTTTGGAAAAAACACCAAGTCTCTTCTATGCAGAGATTATAAACAAATTATTTTTAATTTTGGTTAGTTTTAACAAAAACTTACTTGTTAGAATTAAACAGCCTAAACAATTAAGTTATTTTGTAATGAGAGTACATTGAAAGCTTTGAAAATAAATGTAAATCAACTATAAATCAATCACTGCATTTGTTTTCAGACAGATGCAGTGGTAACCTTAATATTTTATTTGAAGATTTAATATTTGTAGGTTGTCTAAAGCAAAAGAGTTGCTGAAAATGTTTTAGAACTCCTTGAATTTACATTTTCATAATTTGAATTTGAAAAAATCATTTGAAAAAAATATATTACACATTAAAGGGTTAGTTCACCCAAAAATGAAAATGAGTTCATAAATTACTCACCCTCAAGTCATCCTAGGTGAATATGACTTTCTTCTTTCAGACGAATCCAGTCGGAGTTATATAAAAAATTGTCTTTGATCATTCAAGCCGTTTCATGGCACTCAGCGGGTGTATCAGTCCAAAAGAAGTTCAATAAAAAGCGCCCATCCATAAAAAAAAAGTATCTCACACGGCTCCGGGGGGTGAACAAAGGCCTTCTGTAGCGAATCGATGTCTAATCGCTCTCGCGGTACTTTGATGTCACACACAGAATGGTCCGCAGTGCTGCTTCAAGTCCAACACCTATGGTGTTTTATTAGGAGATGCACAACAGTTCTTCTGTGGCTTTATAGGTAATATTTTCACTTACACAATTTAGCAAAATCAGACAATATTGTGTCTAATATAAACCACAATATTAACTTCTTATTAT